CACACACACACACACACACACACACACACACACACACACACACACACACGTTAAAAAAATATATCTGATATATTGTGCTGTAATGCTTTAAAATAAGCCCTACACATGGGAGATCCAGATTTGCTCCTTACATAGGCACGTCCTGCTTTGCAGTGCTACTCCATGCTATACTGGCCCTTCTTACAAAACATGTCTACAATTCAACCAACTCCCTAAAAACAATGCACTTCGACTGAGTAGGGTTGAGTCAAATGCAAAGTTCCCTCTAGTACACCAAGATAGTACCAAGTTGGACCCCCTTTTGCCTTCAGAATTGCCATATTTCTTCATGGCATAGATTCAACAAGGTGCTGGAAACATTCCTTAGAGAGTTTGGCCCATAATGATAGCATCACGCTGGTGCTGGAGATTTGTCAGCTGCTCATCTATGATGAGAATCTCCCATTCCACCACATCCCAAAGGTGCCTTGTTGGATTGAGATCTGGTGACTGTGGAGGCCATTTGAGTACAGTGAACTCAGTCGATGGGTACACTGGTAATAAAGGGATGGACATTCTCAGCAACAATGCTCGGGTAGGCTGTGGCATTTAAACAATGCTCAATTGGTACTAAGGCCCCAAAGTGTGCCATTACACCACCACCACCACCAGCCTTAACTGCTAATACAAGGCAGAATGGATCCATGCCTTCATGTCTGTACCAAATTCTGACTTGGCCATCCAAACGTCGCAGCAAAAATCAAGACTCATCATACCAGGTAAGGTTTTTCCAATCTTCTATTGTCCAATTTTGGTGAGCCCTCGTGAATTGTAGCCTCGGTTTCCGGTTATTGGCTGAAAGGAGTGGCAGCGTTCTGATGTAGCCCATATCTGCTTCAAGATTCGATGTGTTGTGCATTCCGAGATGCTCTTCTGCATACCTCGGTCGTATTGAGCGGTTATTTGGGTAACTGTTGCCCTTCTCTCAGCTTCGCCATTCTCTTCCGACCTCTGATATCAACATGGCATTTTCGCTGTTCACTGAATATGTTCTCTTTTTCAGACCCTTCTCTGTAAACCCCGGAGATGGTTGTGCGTGAAAATCCCAGATAATCAGCAGTTTTTCAAAAATATTAAGACAAGCCTGTCTGGCACCAACAACCATGCCACGTTCAAAGTCACGTAAATCACCTTTCTTCCCCAATCTGATGCTCGGTTTGAACTTCTGCAAATTGTCTTGACCAGGTCTACGTGCCTAAATGCATTGAGTTGCGGCCATGTGACTGGCTGATTAGAA